GCCTGAATGAAGTGCATTACACCAAGGAGGATAGAGTGAGGGGGGATGTTGGAGATGGCAAAGGCAACAGAGGAAGAGGGGTTAAAATGAACTATATAAAAAGAAAATTAATTTAAAAAAATATATAAATATATAAAATATAGGATTCTTCATCACAATTCCTGCTAGCGGTATACATGTATGGACACAAAATGATGTAAGTATCAGGTTCGGATGTTATGTGCCTTCGGTTAAATAACCAGCTGACACATACCCAATCAAGGCTCATACATGAAAGATGCCATTTAGGTGAAGTACTGGAGAATAATAATAATAATCCTTGAATTTAGTATAGCGCCTTTGATGTTAGGGGGATGATTGATGCATGTGGAAACATGCCCTAGGAAAAGAAAAAAGGAGATAAATTGTTTTATTATCAGCCATCTAATAATAACAATCCCTACATTCGATATAGCCCCTATAATGTCAAGAAGATCTCAAAGCACTTCACAACATTTCAGAAAAGTGCAGTGACTATGTGTTTGTAGGTGAATACAGCAGCCAATTTGCATAAAGCAATTTGTCACAAACAGCTATGAAGTGAACAACTAATTTTATCTGGAGGATCATTACCCAAGACGCTGAGACAAACTCCTTTTCAAATACAGTAGTACCATAAGATCCTGAATGTCCACCTAATAAGGGAGATAGGACCTTAGTTTAAAATCTAATTGTGAATGCAGCTCTCCCCCCTACACTACACTGGAATATCAGCATAGATGGGGGACTTGGACCTACAATCTTCTGACCCAGAAGCAAAAGTGCTACAAATTATACTGGCTGACACCTCAGTCGTTTAAATCTGAGAACAATCTCATCAAACCCATCTAAACAAGATGCATTAATTCTGTTACAAGACAAAAGCAACACTATTAGGATACCATCAATGAGAAAAATATGACTTAAATCTCTCGAAGACCCGGCCAAAGAAGACTTGGGATTTCTTGTATGTATCATCTCAATATATGAAAATACTCCATCACGCCACCAGTAGCTAAAGGGCTAGAATTGTGTCCAAGTAAACAGCAGAAAATTAATAAAGAATTTAAAATATATATGTGTGTTTTTTGAAAAACTGACCGAGTAGCAATACCAATAATGTTAGACTGCTAACTTAGAAAATGTTATCTGCTTAGGATCAAGCCTGCTGGTATTGCTCAGGTCAGTTATGGTAGAAGTTCTCACATCCTTTTGTGACCAATTCACTTTACAGTATATTCTGTGAAACGCTTTGAGATGTCTCGAAGACGTGATAAGGCGCTGTATCAAATGCCAGGATTATTATTATTATCTCATACTATCAAAACAATATAATTGCCAAAAGCATAGAAGAGTCAGGGTAATTAAATTTAATTATAAATTTACCTTTTTTTAAAAAGAAATGAACATATAAGTTCTAGAAAATAAATATTTCAAACATAAGAAAACATCTTCACCCAAATATGTTGGAATTTTCTCTGTTTCTGATCCACTGATCATAATTTGACTGCATCGCTCCGGATGCATCAGTTTGGATCAATGGGTGGCACTCTTCAATCTAGGTCAAACATTTTCACCCCAACATTTGAGCTCATAGCCTCGATAGACACACTAGTTCAGGACAGGGAGAGTGCTGAAATATCAGTAGGGCTGTTTTTCAGATGAGATGTTAAACAGAGTTCTCATCTGTCTATTCTCAGTTGTTAAAAGCCGCTATAGCACTATCCAAAAAGAGAAGATAGTTTCTCCTAGTGGTCTGGCCAATCATCCTCCAGAATAATTGATCAACCACCTCATTACTGTGCGGCCTTGCTAGCATAAATTGCTTCCATGTTTGCCAGCAAAAAGGTCATTCTACTTGACCATAATAATCTGTGAAGCTTTTTTTGACTTTTCGATGAGATGCACTATAAAACTGAAAGTGTATTCTTTCTAAGGAACATTTTGCTTCAGCTTTGCTGCAAAATCTGAATTCTATATAGCACTCTAAAGAAGGCCAGAGCTTTACTTAAACCAGCTAAGATTGATGCCAAATCATGTAACGTTTACTGATGTTCCATGACTAATATACAAGCTTGCCAGATCCGCTCAGAACCGTGTGGATGTTGATGATCCACTATCCCAAAAATAATCATATTTTATCATCTTACAACTACCGACCCTTAAGAAAGAACATCAATGATGAAATCACAGGAAAGTGGAGAGTTTATAACAGATTACACTACATAAATCACTTGAATTTTCTTAGGGAATTTCATCATCCTACAAATATGTATTTCTTAATTCCTATTGACCTAGCATTCAGTTTCTCACTGGTTGCCTTCAATAGAACTTCCTACAGAAATGTAAGCAGCATCTTCAACAATTTAAAACTAAAGTTACAAAAATATACCTTACTAATTTAAAATGTTAAATAGCTGATATTTTGTGATTGGGAAAAAACTTTAACAGCCATTTTTTAAGCAGTGAATGACAATATATTATTACTTAAAATATAAAATTTAAATTCTAAAAGTTAAGCAATCAAACCAATGATGCAATGTTTACTGATTAGCCAAACCCGGTGCATAGGTAAACATCCAAGGCTGTGCACTCCACCTGCCAGCCCCCATCTCCGCAACATTGCCCGGCTCCGCAACTGTCACCACAGGCGCTATATAAATGTAATTTTGCTGTTATTGTTGTTGTAAACAGTAGTAGAGATGACTGAAAAGCCTCAATGGGCTTTAAATTCCAATAGCTAAATGTTAATGGAGCAAAGAGATCTGGATTATGTTTGCGTATTGGGACACAATACTTTGGGACACGCTCCCGACGTGAAAAGTACTATACACATGTAATGTGTTGTTGTTGTTGTAACACCAGTCATCTGGGTCCAGAAACCATTTTCATAACAAGACCCTGACCCTATATTTAGAGTACTGAAAATGGCTAAAATATCTTGTTTGACCCGGAACTGTCTTTTCAGCCTCTCAAGAGGAATTTGTATCAAAGGCCTTACTGAAATCCAGATATACAACATCCACAGCTTTACTTATCCTTATCAAGCTCCCTCGTCACATATAAATAATAATAACAATCCTTGCATTTGATATAGCGCTTTTCACATCTTCTAGACGTCCCAAAGCGCTTCACAGAATATACTGTAAAGTGAATTGACTGTATATTTGTGGGCAAACGCGGCAGCCAATTGCGCATAGCAATGTCCCACAAACAGCCGTGGTTTGAAGTGACCAATTTATTATTTTTTTAAAGCAATTATTAACCCCAGAAAAGCGATCCGTGAATGACTAACAACTGGGTTCCTACTTACTGTTAGGTAAACAGAGACGTGTAGAGTAAGGAAACTTGCCCAACATTTCTCCCTGCCGGGAATCGAACCCAGGTCTCTCACTTACGAGGTGAATGCTCTAACCGCTGAGCTATAGGACTCCCTCTTCTATGATATTTTTTGTACACAGTAGTTGATTGGGGAATTTCATCAGATATAATAGCCTGCAATTCAAGAAGCACCAATTTGTGCTCTCAATACTTGTCCATTTTCAATCTGGGAACAAAAATCAGTGAGTAGAACATTCACCACTAAGGACATTAGGCAGTAAAAGATGTAATTTATGTTCAACATATGAACTTGACAAATGCAGCTGTGCTTTAGCTTGCTTTATTCATTTTGCCAACAGTAGCATGTTGATCTAAATTGGCTGTGATTTGCAAGTCCATATTTAAGATTAACTGAAAATTGGCAATATTTTGACCAGAGGGTTAGTCATATAAAACCCTCTGAGAATTCCATGCATTGCACCTATACATGAAAATTCCAGAGATGTTTAGTGGAGTGCCGTATCCTGCTTATCTAATTCCGGAAAGTATCACGCATAGATTGACAGGAGTCAAGACTTGGGTGCATTGGGGTGAGTTGGGGTGCTGCTGGAGTATATAACCAGCTAATACTGCAAAGCTTGCAATTGAGAGCACTGTCTAGCAAGATTTCCCGCTGCTTGTCTAGCTAGGATCACTCTACCCTTTAGGACTTTGGCCTGCAGGGTTAACAGAAGCTGAATGGAAAGAGTCTCTGTTACCAGTACTGGTCTGCCTTTCCAAGTCCTGCCAATGAACCTGCCAAACCTGGCTGTGTGTCATCAGCAGTGCCTTGGGGTACTGTAGATCTGCTCGGCTCAGGAACAGGATTGCCGAGACCACCACAGAGGATAGGCTTGATTCTGACATTCCGTTACCAAACATGTCATCTTGGAGCCAGTTCAGTTCCAAGAAGACCCTTACGCTTACATTACATAAAAATGTGGGATTAACAGTGTCATAAGCCAGATATATATTTACTTTCAATATTTAAAGTATGACTTCTTGTTTTCTCATAGGAGGAACATGTCCCACCAAATAGCTAAGCACCATTGTGGTTGAGAGAAATGGTGCACAGTTTAGCCTCCATCTAGTGGTCAAGGCAAGAACTTATAAAACTAAAAGTAATCAAGCAGATTCAGAAATTAGCAGATCTGGGAGGGAGCAATGTGTCAGCAGACAGATACTCCTTCAAGCAACCAATTCTTTTCTAAGTGGATACAGAAGGTTGAGTTTTCATTGAATATTATAAGATTAATAAAGTCATTGACCAATTTATCTGGAAAATTATTGGGCAGGACACAGGGAAAAAAATTCTTCTATTTGAATGGAAGTGTCATGGGTTTTTTCATGTCCACTTGAACAATCAGGTAGGAGCTCAGCTTTCATACTAATTCAAAGGATGGCACCTCCAACAATACACCTTCACCCAGCCCTGCCCTGGCGTGTCAATCAGGTCTATAAGATCAAGTCTATAAACTTGAACTCACAACCTTCTGATCCAGTGGTAAGAGTGGTACCAAGGTGATACCTAATATAATATACTGTGTCTTAATAAAATAATGTAAAATGTGCCATCCTAATATATATAACACTAACTGAACATGAATTAAAAAGCTACTTACTCAGAACCCTGACTTTCATCTCCAGTTGAGGTCTTATGTCTGGTTGTTGAAGAAGTTTCACCTATACTTTTTGTGTTGTTCTTTGTTCGTTTTTCAATTCTGTGGACCATGTTTAAGTATGAGCCAGATAACGAAGAAGAGAAGAGTCTTGATGAGATAGCACGGCGATGAGATATATAATGTTGCTCTGGGACAACTTCTTCACACCTAGAACCTTGGAATCCAGACCGGCAGACACAGACCTGAGGTCGTGAGCATGAACCTCTGTTTTGGCATGGTGGGGCACAGACAGCTGTTGAAAATATCAAATTAGAAGAATCAGTGCTCTTGCTCAAGTTGCCAGAAAATTAAGTTTTGATTTATAATTTTTCCATGAAAGTTATCTTTAGTGCAATTTACTGACCAATATGGATTATCTGATATGGACATGATTGTCCATTGTGCAGCGTCAAGGATCAGATGCTATAACAATGTAGCAAAATCAGTACTATATTGCCACTGAAAAATATATTTATTCCATCATATTTACTGGTAAATAACTATTATATTTGAATAGGTTTTATTGCTATTACAAGCAATGTTGTCAAAGGGCAGCGTACAGACATTACTAGATTAGAAATGTGTATCCACATTGGTATCATGATATCTTCAAGGGCTTCACAAAGCCACTTAATTCCACAGAAGTTACTGTTAGCTGAACAAGGAGAGATTGCTAATGATGCCATATGATAAATCAAGGGTAATGGGTTTATAGGACAGTCATAATGAACTGAGTCTGGAACCCTCATAATAAAATAAGATGCATTTGCCATCCTCAAGTTCTAGAGAATGTGGAGAAACAGAGTTTTTGTTTGTCAATTCGAGCCTGAAAGACACATTCCCTTCCAACTCCATCAGAATGGCGGGATCCAAAGTCGGTTTGCAGATTCCCCTTGACTTGTCAGTATGCAGGTCATAATATTAGAGTGGCAATTAGTCGGATTCTGGTGAGTTTTACTCAGATACATTTCTTGAATTAAGCCAGTAACCGCTAACCAGCAATCTAATGCTGTGCTCTATGGGCCCAACAATTGTGATGACATTTGTGGAAGGGGACGTCACAATCAATGTCTTCAGTTATTGACCTGGCAGAATTGTCAATACTGTGGTAATTAAAATAGGTTGAAAATTTCGCTCCTAGATTCACAGCAAAAACAATCACCACTAGTAAAATAGCACAACTATAAATAGACTAAGATTAAAATTGTGTTTTAAAATTTGTATAGGTCTGTGGTTTATGATTAAAATTGATAATCTAAAATGACGAGAACATTTTTAAAAAATCATGAACCCTTTTCTCTAGAAAGACGGTGAGATGCTCTTACCTTAAAAGTCACATTTAGTTTTTCTAAGCACTTGTTCTCGCAAGCCTGAACTGAAAATATATTTATGAGCCAAAATTATATCAAACAATTATTTAGTATTCATGAGGAGCATAAATTATCAAGTTTGGACTAAAGATGGCCTACCTTCCTACATAAGAAGCTGTTTTATTTCCAAAACACAGCAGCACATAATTCACATGGCTAAGTTCATAAATAACTGGTGAAATGTATCTATAGAGACTAACCTTTATGTCAATCAATACTTTATTAATTCAAATCATCAATTTACACTGCTATAATTGCAATGTGTTCGTAGCCAACAGAATTTAACCTCGAAGTATCAAAAGCCTCATAAATATTAAAACTCCAGAGCCTTTCAATAAATGCTTTTTAATATATTTATTATTCTGTATCTTGGCAAAAACAGATAAAAGAACATCTATTTGAACAAAAAATTCTGTTAATTTAAGCAGTACATTGTTTGGCGCCAGAACACCAACAAAATCCCAACTATTTTTTAACAAGATAGTTGTTAAAAGAAACAGAGGGGAGGTTAGGAATTTTTTTTCACCCAGCGAGTTGTTGGGATCTGGAATGCATTACCTGAAAGGGTAGTGGAAGCCGATTCAATAACAACTTTTAAAAGAGAAGTAGTGGGTATTTGGGGAGGACAGGATTGCAGGGCTATGGAGAGAAAGCGTGCCAGTGGGATTGAGTGGGATTGCTCTTTTCGGAGCTGATGCAGACACGATGGGCCAAATGGCCTCCTACTGTGCTGTATAATTCTGTGATTCTATTAACTCTATTTTAAAAATACTGTCCCTTTTTTAAGCCAAAATATATGGATTTGAAAGTTTTTTTTCAAATCCAACCTTGGGAATGTATTAAGAATATTCATTCAAAATTGGGAATTAGTGCTGTATAAANTTTTTTTTTGCCAAATTGTAAAAATGTGAAAGCAGTACTTTTAAAAATAAATACTGTGGGCATTGTACTTTTAAAATACTCCTACTTCATAAGCATTACACTAAAGAACAAATTCTTCGCTGCCAAACTATCCTACTTTCATTGTGCAAGAACCTATTTTTCCCAAGCAATTCAGTGACTACAAAACTTTCTATGAGCTTGACATTGTAAACCTACTAAAATTACATGTGGGTTTAAGTAATCAAACTGTGAAGAAAGGCTAAGGAAAATGTGAATATTTACAATGGAAACAATACACCTCAGGGTTTACTCAAGGTATTATTAAAGTTTTTAATATGCTTAAATAAAGTGAAGGTAAATAAGAGTGGGCTTGACATGATTAGAATAGCTAATCAATAAAATCCTGTGAAGTGATTTGAGATGTTTTGACAATGTAATAAGATTGAATATCAAATGCACAGATTTTGAATATGGATTATTGAATATGCAACACACTGCCGACAGTCAAGTTCAAGAAGGAACTGAATAGATTTTGGTGGAAGAAATAATTGAGGATTATAAGAGATAAGAGAATATTATGGTATTTTTCCAACTTTGGGAGTAGCCAGATGGAACATAATTGTGTTTTCAGTCCTGTAATTCCTATGTTCCTAATTATATGGATTTATGTTTTCTGCCAAAATTAAAACAGCATTAGAAATGTTCCTACTACAGTCACAGAACATTTAAAGCGGTAACCAGCTCAAAGGGGAAACACTACAATTTAGCATTTGTAAAAGAAGCCAGTTTATAATTAATATGTGTAGATTAAAGTTCTTTCAGCTGCGAAAAAATAACAGATGGAATTGTTCACAATGTATGTTGATGTTCATAGTCAAGGGAATAGAAGAGATGATTTGAACTGCAGCCAGCCAATGCTACACCAAAGTATACCCAACCTTGTCACTGCGTACAAAATGAGAAAGCTTTACTCACCAACACGATCCAATTGCCTGAAAAATTATTATATTTATAATATGCACTTGGTATTTAATATAAATTCAGATTATTTATGTAAAATAGAAAAGTATTAAAAACTAAAAACGCAATCAGAAAATATTCTCTGCCTAGGGGAAGCAAGCCTCTAATCTTTCCTCATACATCTTTCCTAAAACATCCCTTATATCATTCTAGTAAATCTTCTCTGTATCCTTTCTATGAGCTTGACATTGTTCCTATGGTGAGGTGCCCAGAATTGGCCATAATAATCCAACTGCAGTCTAAGTAATGATTTATACGGGTTTACCATTATCCCCATTATCCCTTAACCCCAATATCTCTTTATATTCCACCTTTCATGTTCAGAGGATGTCTGAAAGCTTTTGACATTGTCAAAAGGTGGGCACCTGAACTAGAGATGGGAACAAAGGGGCTGAGGAGAGGAAAGATGACCAAAAGTACGGTTCAAAGAGGTAGGTTTTCAGATGGGACTTGAAAATGGAGGGAGCGAGTCAGAGGGATTCCAGGGTGGAGATCCAAAGAGTGTAGGGAAAATAGCTGAAAATCTGACCACCAATAGTGGAGCAGAAGGGAGGGTGGCATGAAGCTGTCCAGTGTTCGCTCAATGAAGAGAGTGGCTGGGTTGGTATGGTTAAAGGAGGTCACAGAGTAGAGTGAGGTGAGACCGTGGAGGGATTTGAACAACATCAGAACAAGGATCTTGAGAGATGGGGAGCCAGTGGAGCCTAGAGAGGATGAGGATAATCGGCCTTGTGGGGTCCTTTATAAAACTTTGATATAGAACTGCATATTTTGAGTGATCTAATACAAAGCAAAATGCAATCTATTCCAAAGGGAAAACATCATAATATCCAAAGGAAGTAGGATTATAAGATGTGCTTCTGTCTTGGCATAATTCATGTATAACAACGTTCATCCTCAAGCTGCTGAATCTGTATAACTCTGGAAGCCAAAGCACTAATGAAAAGGGTGGTACTAGCTGGACAAGCTGCAGGAATCTTACCACTGTTTTGCAACAGTATCTCAATGCCCAATTTGGAGTCCCAAGCTTTGTTCTTGCCAACTTGTATAAATTCTTAAATAAAGAATTACCTAAGCAAGCCGCTGGGGAGAGATTGTGCACTCCATGCCAGACAAATGGAAACCATATATTTTTGGAACTCTCAATTTGGTTTGGAGATGCTCATGCTCATGGCTTCCCATGTGTGTCAGATAACTGTCTGACCCCGAACAATTATTGTTCATGTGAAGAATATTTTCTTTCTTGTCATAATGTAGAAAGTAATTGCTGTGCACTGCAGTACATAGTTCATTTGCAGTTATTCAATAGACGTCCTCACTAGCAAAACAGAAGTAGGTTATTTCATATTTTTCCATTTTTAATCCTTTATTTAATTCTATAACAAAAAGATCATACAACTCCCAGCTCACGTCTCTACCGCTATATGTAATATAGAACTGAAACCCTTATAATCTCAGGCCCCAACAATATCTAGTACATAACTCTTCTTGGATATAAGACTATAGTATGATTTATAACATGTCAATTCAAACTTGTCTAAGCCTGATTTTACCTTTAGGCAACATCCATGTTTGGATAATATCCAAATGCATCCTTTCAATATGGTAAAGTTTACAAATAACGAGCAAATGTTCTCACAAATTTTGAGCTTTTTAAAAAATGTCTTAATTTGTGATGAATTGTTCCTGAAAATGTTTGCTTTGAAATATTCAGCATTCAGCAGCTCTTCAATCAAGAAATAGCCAATGGCTTAATGCAGTATTAATAGCACATAATCACATAGATAACAAAGTTATATCAAGGTAGTTACGATTGTGTGTTTCCCTTACAGCACACAAAGGAGAAAATGCCATAATAACATGCTACATTTTTGGCATCGAAGCTTTACAGATGTAAACATGTTTCTCAGAGCAGATTTCTCAACACTAGTGGTCCTCAGAGTCTGAGTTAAGAGAAGTCCTAAAATCTAAATATTTAATTTAACCAATCATGAACTGTAGCAGCATCTCAGGGAGGAAATGTATTTCTCCAAAGAGAACACGAATTAACTTCTGTATCTCTTGTGAATCTCTAAGCAACAGTCAGGGTGAACTCTACAGAAACCTAGAACTGAGTTACCCATTAGTTCTGGAATGGTATGCTCTGCCTTTTTGACTATACAACGCAAAATCTTTTTTGTTCTCTTTAACTGCTGAACTGATGGTTCAGCAAGACATCCATCAGTATCTCCAGATCCCATCCCTCTGTTGTATGCTGCATTCTGATATTTACTTTATATTCACTCTGTGTATTGCCGTAGTCTTACCATTTTCTAAACTCAGAAACACACTTCAACTGTGCCTACGGTCACCAACCCCTTCCGACATCGTGCTCTGCCGCTGTCAAGCGCTCTGGCATGCCGTAAATGCAAGTTGTTGTTGCTGTTTCTATTTAGCTGCACTAAATTATATCTGCTTAGCCGAAAATTCTATATTTGATTTACTTGTTTTTCCACCATTGGTTTGGCATTAGCAGGTTTTTTTTCTATTCCAAATTCCAAATTATTTATGTATAGTGTAAACAATTGGATTATTTATGTGCAATTCAAATTTATGGATTTTTAAAAAATTAGTCTTGCAGCAAAGTATATAGCAAAAATACACACTACATATCATTTGTTTATTGTCATGTCACTCTACCATTACAGGACAGGGAGGAAGCTAAGCTGGTTTCAATGCAATATTGTATTACTACAAGATTTTTCCACAGCAGTAATTCAGAGAATCATACCTGTGAGTAAATTACTCCTATTTACCATTTTTATATGCAATTCAATTCAAACACTGGCATGACAACATGCCCATTGCCAGAATTCCTACCTAATTAGAAAGTTCTATTATTTTGTCACCTGTTTTCTGACTCTCCCACAGTTGTACATTTCTTGGCTCTGTTCCATTTGACTAAGCCGTCTGTCACAAACTGCTATAAGTTACATACCTGCTACTTAACAAATGTCATAGCATATCGAAATCATAATTACTTTGGTCTTGTTCATTAGCAGCAAAGGAATGCGACACCTTTGCCTTTAAGCTACAAAGTATTCCATTCTTTCCACCACAATGTCTACCCACAAGTATACTAGCACAAATTAAATTAATTATACCCCAAAGAGGGTTCTAGGTACTAGCTAATTCTTCCATAACAGTTATTGCTAATTTGTAAGAAGCAGTGTTTTTAATGGTACTGGGCAAGGCCAAACAACAGACAAACTCAATTCTATTCTGACAAAACTGGAGTAAAGCTGGATTGCTTTTTAATATCACTAAATTTTAAAATAGCTCTGGCTACAGTAATAATCCTTGCATTGATATAGCGCCTTATCACATCTTCGAGATGTATCAAAGCGCTTCGAAGAATATACTATGGAGTGAATTGACTGCATTTTGTGGGCGAAACGCGGTAGACAATAATGCACAGCAGTGTTCCACAAACAGGCGTGGATTGAAGTGACCAATTTTTTTTATTTTCTTTATTTTTTTGAAAGAATTATTACCTCCGGGAAAGCGATCTGCCAATCGTCTAACAACTGGGTTCCTAAAGTATTATCATTTCGCTTTTTCAAATAAATATGAAATGCTTTTAGAATTCTAAGAGACACTATTAAGCATAAGTTTCCTACAAAAAATCAGATTTTCTTTATGAAAGCTAGATATTGGAAAATGTTGTCTGTAAGTAAGCAACCTTGGTTTTTGGTTCGATCCTTAGTTCTTCCTTTGTCATCTTCGGACCCTGACCAAGACCACTTTTCTTCACCTTTGACACCCTGTTGCCTGCATCCCTATTTCACAATTACATCACCAAATATCTCATTCAAAAATCGACTTCTCTAACACATTCCTGGCTGGGGTCCTAGTACCACCATCCCTCATTCAAAAATTCCATTGCCCACATCCCCATCTGCACCAAAGTCAAAAAGAAAGAAAAAACTTTAAAAGGCAGGGTTTCTATACTTTAAAGAAAATAATCAACCGTACTTACGTTTCATGCATCTGTTTGTACCAGGATTTAGGGTCCATCCAGAACAGCACCGTCTCCCACAAACATTAGGCCTAAAAAGTAAGATTTTGATTTGTTAATTATCAAATTCTTCTGTATTCAGATATTTATGTTCACAGTCTTGATGAAATCTGCCTCCAATATATTTGTCTTTGCTTCAGCTTCCCTTTTCTATCTGCTTGTCTTTTCCTGATCCTGCTTAGCCCTCAATCTGTCCTTCTGCTTTAGTCCTATTATTTTGCTCACAGCAATGCGTTCAATATGTTGTCCCACTTAATTGGTATTTCATGCTAAAATGTTTGCATTGTGAAGATTGATGAAATTATTTTTCAAATTGCTGGAATGTTTGGGGGAGAGGGGCCCTCATAATGACCTCAGTTCTCTCCTATCCTTCTTCCTCCCCTAAATGTTTGACTCTCTTTTTCCTTCTGCAACTTATTCATTACTTTATTAAAACAAAATTTACTACAAAGCAGCACCTCGCCATATACTGGGTCACTGGTGGTGGTGGGGGGAGGGAAGGTTTCACATCACTCGATGATTTCACTGACATTGAATAAAAACAGTGGGTTTTTTATAGTCAGACGCGGCTCAAGGGGGAGAAATGAACTTTTAATAAGTTTATTTTCCCCTCAGGGTTTTCTTTCGCCTGTTCAGAGCAGGGTTCTGTCCTGTCCTGTCCTGTCCTGTCCTGTCCTGTCCTGACCTGTCCTGTCCTGTCCTGTCCTGTCCTGTCCTGGCCTGGCCTGGCCTGGCCTGTCTTGTCTTGTCTTGTCTTGTCTTGTCCTGTCCTGTCCTGTCCTGGCCTGGCCTGTCCTGTCCTGTCCTGGCCTGTCCTGTCCTGTCCTGTCCTGTCCTGTCCTGTCCTGTCCTGGCCTGGCCTGGCCTGGCGCCGCACGGTTTGTGTTTGTGGCAGCGCGAGCAGTGGGAGGCGGTAAACTAACGGTCACTGCTAACGGCCGCCTCGTGCCTCGTGGCAGCAGGAGGCGGAGAGCACCATGTGCTGAGAGTCAATCGCTGGCAGCGGCCAGAGCTCCTGCAGGTGGCAAGTTACAACATGTGGCTTCTTTTTGTCTATGATATGATGGTTATATAGACTGTTGGTTGCTTCAAGTGACAGCTTCTGTCTCAGGTGATTTGAGAGAAATGCTGTGCAGGTTTGTTTGCAAATTGGTTTTGAATATTGCTCTTGACTTGCCTTGTCACTGATGGCGTCAATCATGATTGCTGTTTGGCAGCTCGCCTATTATTCTTTCAAAAAGACAAGAAAGATAGGAACAGGAGGAGGCCACTCAGCCCCTCGAGCCTGTTCCTCAATTCTACAGGGCAACCAAAAAGTCTGTGATACCATCACAATGTCTAATAAGTCTTAAAGAAATGATGATATTTTTGTTTTTTTATAGATAATGGGGTAGTTATCATGACTTTTTGGTCACCCTGTTTAAGATCATGGCTGAACTATATCTCAACTCCATTGCCCCAAAACCCTTGACACCCTGGCCTAATCTATCTATCCACGTCAGTCTCGACTCCTTATTAACCGTTTGCAGTTTTTTAAAAATATAAATGTGACTTTAAATGGTACTGCTATCAAGATGGACTGGATAGGTTAGGCATTTTGTTTGCTGGAGAAGAGACGTTTAAAAGGAGACCTAGTAGAGTTGTTTAAAATTAGAAAAGAATTCAATAAGGTTAACATAAATAGGCTGTTTCATATTGTGCCACAATGATCTGCATGAGAAGGGAAAAGCGCAAAGTTTATTTTCACCAGAAACATGCTTCACAAGTTTATATTTACATTTATGTTATATAAACATTTTATATATTATATATATTTATGTTTTGTATTTTTTTAAAGTTTACAAGTTATATCACAGTTAACATCACTGATGCTTGCACTCATAAACTGCACAGGTTATGGTTCAGCCTAATATGTGTCCTCTTTGCATCAGAGCATCAGGAAAAAAACATGCATTTCACTTGATTCATTCCATGTGTACCATTGGGAGCAATTTTTAAAATGCCACTGGAGAGCAATGCTAATAAAAACTAACCCAGTACTACGATTCTGTTTTCACTTTCATAGTTGCAATAGTCAGTTATAAAAGCTACATTTCTCTTAATTTTATGTTCTCTCTCCCATTACTCTCTAGATTCAGCCCTCCTCTTTCCCGCATCCACATTAAAGTGGCACACTAGGAAAAGCAGACCTGCATCAGTGACACTGGACCCAACCCCTGGGACAAGCGCAATAGGCAGCTGGAATAATGTGGCTTCTGGTTTTCCCTCCTCTTTATGGAAGGACGTGGCTACATGTGATACATCCAGCGACACAGGCAAGATCAGAAATTAGTTATGTTCAGAATCGAGGGCGCAGATCTATATTCTAACACTTTATGCCACAGCATATTGAACCTGCACCACCACAAAGACTTGTAAGTCCCATTTATTCAATTTCATGATACTGTAAATATATATTATATCTGATCCCCAAATGCATAAAATCATAAAATCACATACGAATGCAGAAAGGGACAATCAGCCGTCATGTTTGTATATCAGCAATCTGTTTTTATAAATTGGTTTATTTTATATTAATCCTGGTTTCAAACTCTCTCTCCTTATCCCTTAATTTATTTTATTGAAGTTTCATTCTAACCAAAAGTTTAGTTACGAAAATCATGCCTTTCTATGAATTTCTGATTCAGTCACTGTGCCGCAGCTCTCCTGGCTTCTCACAATAAGTGGTATTTATTACAGTAGATTAGAGCCATACCCCACATGTTTCTCCACACACGAATGGAAGTTTGAGAGGGGTGTGATTGGGTCTCTAATACCTGTACCCTCTTAGTGTATCAGCATGACTCAGTTGGTAGCACTCTCGCCTCTGAGTCATAACAATATTGATACAGAAATCGTATCCTCAAGAAGTGTCAGATTAATTGTATCTCCAAATAGAGTGCAAGTGGTTGCGTGGATGACACCCAACTCTCTTTGTCCCCACCCTCGACCCCAGACTGCCTGTCAGACATCAAGTCCTGGATGAGAGCTAACTTTCTACAGTGGAACGTCAGCAAGACAAGGCCCTTCCAATTGGCTCACACCAGCGCCTCCGCACCTCAGGCACTGGCAACATCAGTATCCAAGGCTGCACACTCCACCTCACCACGTCAGTCAGGAACCTAGGCGTCTTGTTCGACCCTCAACTGTCCTTTCTCCCTCACATTTGTGCCATGACCCGTTCTGCCTTCCCCACTTCCACAACATTGCCCGACTCTGCCACTGCCTCACTCCTCAGGCCGCCAAAGCCCTCATGCACGCCTTCATTACAACCAGGCTCGACTAAGCCAAACTCCTGCTTGTCAGCCTCCCCAACTCTTCCCCCCACAAGCTGCAGGTCACCCAGAACTCTGCAGCTCGTGTCCTCTCCCGCACCAGACTCCGTGACCCCATCACCCCCACCCTCGCCCGGCTCCACTGGCTGCCCATCCCTCAGAGGGTCAAGTTCAAAGGCCTCATCCTCACCTTCAAGGCCCTCCATGGTCTTGCCCCCTCCTACCTTTCCAACCTGCTAACACCTCATCGACCTGTCCACTCCCTCAGCTCAGCAGGCTCTGGCCTGCTCCATGTTCCCTGCCCCACCATCGACGGTCGGGCCATTAGCCTCTCGGCCCCCACCCTCTGGAAATCCATCCCACATTCCCTTTGCCTCGCTCCCTCCTTTGCCTCCTTCAAGGCTCGCCTCAAGATCCTCCTCTTCGACATGGTCTTCGGCCACCCTCCTACCCTCTCTGTCCTCTACCCTCCCTGATCCCAACCCCTGCTCCCCTCAGGTCCTAATCCCTGACTGTTCAGCACCTTGAGACGTTCTCCCGACGTGAAAGGCGTTTTACAAATGTAATATTGCATTGTGCTGTAAAACACATCTGCGCAGCAGACTTCCAGCATGAACCCAGCCTTAGACTGAAGGCATCACAAGCATGTTAAATATCTTGTGTAAGATGGATGTTGCCTTTTTTGTCACAGGGCCATTCACTTAGAAACGTACTTGATTATTTTATTGCTTTCTACGAAATGCCTGGAAACAAGTAAATAATGCATACTTAGCCTCCCTTGGAGAAAATGTATTCATATTTTTAAAAGTATGACATTTCTTGTTAACACCATGATGTACAAACATTCCAAAACTCTAAATATGAAGCTCTGCTTTTTTTACCGCAGAGTTGTTTCTTATTGGCTATGCCAAAACTATCTACTCTGTTAGTTCCCACAAACGAATAAACAGACGTGCTCAGAAGGGGATTCTTCCTCCTTCAGTATAATGTCATTTGTGTTTCAATTTGTGCAACCAGTAATGATTTCATTTCAATTCAAGTAATCTTGCAATCTTGCCAGTTTGGTGCAACAACACCTGTTTTCTTCTCAAAAGGGCTGTGACCCCTTCCCAACAAACACCAGATTTTTCTCTCTTTCTCCAACTCTCTTCCAACTCAACAGATTTCTTCCTCTCTCCCTCCTCCCTGTACCCGACCCAATAGCTAAAGAAGCAGACATCTCTTGTCTTCTATCTGTAGTTTGCAAGTTCCAGTTCCCTTTCACTGGCACTGGCCTGTCCCTCTTGGGCAAATTCCATAATTTCCTGTTAAGGTCCCTAATTGAAGCACAAATGCAACAGCATTCCAGGGAATAAGTTGTGGACATATGGCTGATAACTTGAAAGAAATCTTCCCCCAAAAAATTCACTAATTATTAAGGTGTCAAACAACTGTTGACTACTGCATAAATTGGCTTTCAGGAAATATGAATGTGCATTCAATTTAAGACAGAGCTTTAGGACTTGTGATGAAGCTTTATTTTTGATTTTCCACATATAAAGCAAGTACAGCAGTATAAGTAGGTGCTATGCAAGAAAACACAACTGGAAGAGTAATTAGGATTTTGAACGATCTATAAAAATTGGTGGTTGAAGCACAATCTACGATAGCTTTTAAATGGCAAATGAGACAAATAATTGGGAAACGAAAATGAATAGGGTATGGTGAAAGTGTAGGAG